GGGTGTGGGGAGGGAATATTTTCCAATGGTATTGGCTAGAGGTGGCGCTAAAACTGCGAATTGGTAGAAGTTAGAATGCATGAGCATTGATTCGGGTCCCAGTGCCTGGATAGTCTACGAGCTTGCTTTGCAACTGGAAGGTCCTGGGTTCGAGACCCGATGAATGCGTACTGGCAACGAAACCTGAACTGGGACGAAACAGCTTCTCAGTGCTCCCTGGTTTCCAATGACTCTCTAACTGATTTTAATCGTGCCTGAACCTGGAAATAGTTAGTTACCCCTATATGCGTCAGTCAAATGATAGGACACACAGTGAAAAACACAATCTACTTTCTGAATCAGAGAAAAACAGAAATTGGCAAATCAGAGGTTTTCTACTATTATGTTGTATAAGTATGTGTTGAATGATGGAAACCCATCACGGCTGCTGTTAGTTCAACTCTTGTCGCGACCCATATCTTCATTTCACCTTCAATCAACACTCATTACATAACTCAATCAATTGTCAAACATTATAGGTTTCCAGGCCGTAGGTGTTACGAACTTCCTGAAATAATTTGAGCGCCGAGTCAGATTGATTCATTTTAAATTATTTAAATTAATCCCAGCGTGTTAAGAAAATCAAAACAAGATTTTTCTGAACGTTTCGCTGTGTGAGCCACAGCTTCTTCAGCAGATTTATCAGATAAATCTGCTGAAGAAGCTGTGGCTCACACAGCGAAACGTTCAGAAAAATCTTGTTTTGATTTTCTTAACACGCTGGGATTAATTTAAATAATTTATAATGAATTGTCAAACATTTTACAATTATCAACCGCCTTATTTGTGATGGGTTTTCTGAGAGACCACCAGATGGTATCAGTTACTCACTGTTTTAATGGCATATTCCTACTGTCGCATGTCTAAACAGAAGTGACAGAATTTTCATTTTTCTCAAAGTCCAACAAAACTTTATAGTTTTCCTACCACGGCGTCACTGTTCGCTGTTCTAATCCAACAGAAAAGTGACTTTTCATCTTTGCAAATTGTATTTAGTGAAGTGAGATTGCCACTCATAAGTGTGAGAGCACTGGGCTTACAGTTATGATTGATTATCAAATGTCAAAATTGGCTGAATTAGCCAAATTGATCAATAAAAATGGTGTGTTTATTAATGTGTATCCACAAGGTCATCGAAACTGACAGAGTTCCATTATTACACAGAATCCACCTTTGCACAACCCAGTATGATGAAAATAAGAACTAACTAGGTATATTTTTATAATGAAGGCTTTTTGTATATTTTTTTCTAAATAATATTTTCTATAGTTTGGTTTGTAAGGGTTAGTTATATTTTTACGAGTTGATCACGGATTGATATCAGTTAGAGAACCATTGAAAACCAGGGAGTACTGGACAGCTGTTTCATCCTAGTTTGGGAATCATTGTCAGTACGCAGGATGGAGTTTCCTGGAGTTATAGTGAAAAGTCGTGACCACTGAGGTTCAACCAGATGTCACGTGTGAGGATGGATGTGCCACCAAAGACATTGGTTGGGGTTACGCTAAATCACAAACCGGTAGAAGTTAGAATTCATGAGCCACTGAGTCGGGTCCCAGTGGCTGAATTGTATACGAGCTTGCCTTGTAATCGGAAGGTCCTGGGTTCGAACCCTGGCGGGGGGGGCGTACTGCCGATGATTCCCAAACTAGGATGAAACAGCAGCTGTCCAGTACTCCCTGGTTTCCTATGGTTCTCTAACTGATATCAATCCGTGATCAACTTGTATAAATAGTATTTCCTGAGCGCTTCAAAATTGAAACTTTCAGTTTACCTTTCAGTGGTGTTGAAATAACCTTATTATTACTATTATGTTTGATTAGAGTTGGAAAACTGAATTCCGAGCTAAAGAAGTTTGCACCGGCAAAACGATGACTAGCACCACCTTTTGTTGTTAGTTGGATATCCACACCATCTCTGTCTTCTTTATGTTCACCTTAAGTCATTTCATGACCTACTCTTCTGCGAACTTGCTGATTTTCACCTGTAGATATTTGATTTTGTGCTAGAATTGTCATAAATCATCCATGAAGGCTATCCGAAAGTAGTACACACATATAAGCAAGTGCAGGTATGTGAAAAGAGTCACGCTTCACTTTTTCCTACATACACAAACACCTATTTTACTTCAGAAAAGTTAAATTATTACAAAATTTCGCATAACTTTAGTTTCATGGACTCGCTTTTTTTGCTCAGCTTCCCTTCTCTTCATGATACGCATCTTAGAAAAACATAAAGAGATGCATGAAAGACCACACTTTGTTGTTATTGTGTCTTTGGACAGAACAGTAGGGATTCATTCTGGCAGTGAGACATTTTAATCCGATAATTAGTACATTTGTTATTACTATTATTATTTCTGTCTGCTTTATCACATTATTATTATAGGGGAACACAACGAGTAAAAGTGAACTGGTAAACGGTAGAAAATCTCTAAATGACGCAAACAATAATAGAGAAAAGTTTCTTCCTCTGTAAGTTTCCCTGCAACAGGGATATCGAATCACATGCTAAGGTCATTGAATAGTGTTAGATCTAGCCATGAATCATTGAACAGACATGAAGGTTTATAATAATAATCATAACGCTGATAGCAGACAGAGTTTTACATTAACGACAGGTTTGAAAAACGTTTGCTACAAAACAGTGAACGTCAGGAATATCACAATTGGTGAATTATTATTCACTTCTCCAAATAAGTATTAAGTATCTGAAGTGCAGTAGTTTGAATTAGTCATGCATATTAGACAGTTAGAAGCAGTCGGCAGGAAGCCTCGCACCTGGGTTTCGTCCCACTAGACACTCGTTAGCGAGGCGTGTCTGACTGATAGAATTCACGTGGAGGACTTCATCATGAGCTGACATCCGTTAGAGAACCACTGGAAAACCAGCTGGGAGTACTGGACAGATGTTTCGTCCTAGTTTGGGAATTTTCAGCAGTACGCATCCACCGGGATTCGAACTCAGTGCCTTCTGGTTACAAGGCGAGCTCGTAGACCATTGAGCCACTGGGACCCGATCCAATGGTCCTTGAATTTTAACTTCTGCCAATTCACATCATAGCGCGACCATTTCGCAATGTCTTCTTCGATAAGGTACTGCCTCATCTTCAACCTGCTGTACCCTACTGGTCACCGCTTCCCACTAGAACCCCAGGTTAACTGCCTGAATAGGGCCAGTCGCTAGTGAGCATCAGATTAATTTTCAAGTATTGGTGTTATAGGGATTTTGTTTGATTGGATGGAGGATTTCATCATGAGCTGACATCAGCTGACATCATCGAATCCCGGTGGGTGTGTACTGTGAAGAGTCCCAAACTAGGACGAAACAGCTGACCAGTATTCCCAGGTTTTCCAGTGGTTCTTTAATAGATGTCAGCTCATGATGAAATCCTCCATGCAATCAAACAAAGTCCCTACAAAACCAATACTTGATAGAATTCAGTCTGCACCAAATAAAGGACTAGACACACCACACTTACTAACTGTTCCAATCAAAATTAGTCCTGTATATTTTATCTTTTCTTCAGGAAAGAGTATTCACAGTGCACACTGTTCCTCAGAGTGTTATGCAAAGCTATAACAGTGAGCTACAATTTTAAAGTAAAACAATACTGATGAAGATAGAATTCCTCAAGATGTCGGATGCGATCTCATTCACTAACTTAGATACTCACTGAACATCAAGTAGTTGGTCAGCAGCTGTTTGATTGGTAAGAGGAAAAACATAACCTAGTTTCACACCAGATTTTAATTAACGTGTTTTTGTTTGATAAGGCACACACAGGTGCGATGACTGGCTACTAAGTAATATTTCCAACATAATTTATTTATAATCAAACCAAGGCAACGTGACATTGAGAAGAATAAAATGAATTTGAAACGTCAACTTGTGAATGTTATTCTCAGAACTGAGCATAAACCACGATGGCGTGTTAGACTACTTACACCGCAAAACGGCAGAGCTACAGACAGAAGTTCAGTATGAAGATATGCAGCAATCGGCACAAGATACAGGGATCAGAAATTTTAACACTAGCGTCAAGTCATTGCTCCTAAATGCTTCAGACAGTTGTCGAGCACATCGTCAATAGCATTTCCAGCTGATTCTAAACTTTCCCCAACAGATGCCTTCTATCAAACCTGAGGATAAGACGTTTGGTTGGAAAGAATAAGTAACGAAGAACTCTAGCAACGCGACAAGTCAGCCAACAATCTAATACCAAGTCAATAAGTAAGCATAAGGAAGTGCGCTGTCACTTAATATCACACATCTGACAAGTCGTCGATTGGAGGGTCCGAGAGTGACACGGGGCAGACCATATGATGAGGGAATGGAAATATGTCAGCAGGCTTGGAGCCAGTTGGAAGTGATGAGAGATGGGAGAGTGTAGTGGAGATGTGCTGCTGAATTGCCTATGTTCCATCCGGAAATCATAACATTCATAATTATATTGGCGATAAAAAAATAAAGATAATCCAAGAGATCTCATTAAAATGAAACTTTTCTTGAGAAGTACACCTGCAATAGAAATGATGCAATAGCTATCTCAGATATGAGGAAGATTGCAACAAACAACAGAGGGAGTGAGAGTGTATACAGCAAGTTATAAAGTCGTGTGAATACATTGATATAATTATCAGCATTAAATTATGCTCGCAATGTCATTAATACTGTGTATCATTGCGCGTTATACCAAATAAACGTATCTAATATGTGAATCAAAGCATGATTTGTATTTCTGCACTACATTATGTTATTTATTGATTAGTAATAATTTTTAAATTAAAGAAATCATTCCATCTCTGAGGCGTACAGAAATTAGTTACTGATAATCACGTTATGAAAAAAAACCGGTTTATACTATTTAAGCTACTTTGTGTCATTTTGTGAAGCATAAATTAACCTTATAAATTATGTCCTTCAAAATTATTAATTTATTATATTCAATAATTATGTTTATGTACGAAGAAGGATCTACAACAGATCTTATAATAAAAGAATGCAGTGCGAAGGCGGAATGGGGTGTATGGCGTTGTCCTGGAGTCGGAAGAGAATGCAGTACTGAATCCGCTACCCGTTATAAATGTATCGGTGGTGATTGTACGATTGACAGCCCATGCGCTAAACTTGCGAATTACAGTGTAAGTTATATATAATTGTGAGCATGTTATTACAATAATATCAGTTATATCTGTTCATAACATAATATTTCTGAAAAGCAACCATTTTGGTTTCTTCATTGCAAAGGGAGTATTTCCCATTACTTTGACAGTGAATAAAAAATCAAAGGGAGATAGTCAAAGAAGAAATAGAAACATTTAAAAATGCAGTAGGTGTCAACAGTGTATGAGGTAAAAGCCTATATTAGTTAGTCAGTTAGCAGTCTTAACTCCCAAACTTCTGGTCTAAAACATGTGAATTAGTATACTCTATCTGTTTGAAGTGGTCAGGAATGAGCACCTCAAGAATTCCAATGACGTAGCTTAGAAACATAGAAGTATAAATTCGGTCTTTATCACTTCCAGTTTCGGAATATATTCACTAATCACCACATTATTCTCTTTTTGAGATGGTTGAGATTAACTTCTGGACATTTTTTCTTGCTGCTTCGTAGTGAAGCCATCTGAACAGATCCAATTCTGTCATTTTTTCAACTATCAGTAATGTATTCTAAGACAGAAGTGATGTTGTATGATTTTATCTTATTTTATTAACAAGACTGTAAAATCCACACGTAACCTTCAATGTGTGAATCAGTTTTTGATTAGTTCAGTTAGATTGATGAATTGCCTGAAATCCGTTGGGTTACAGGTGTTTTTCAGTGAATTACGGGCTTATCCCACTCGCAGACCAGTGCACCGCTTTCACTCTCTCTCTCACTCTTCCTCTGCATTGCCTCGTCTTCCTGCGCTTCAAAACAGCAAACATAAAAGAGTGAAGTGGACATATAACAATACCACAATGGAAAAACGTAGGTGTGAAGAATAAATTATCCAAATGAAGGTCACTAAAGGTATTCAAAATCTGATGTATCAAGGAATGGAGAGACTTCAAAAAGTGATAACTTCTAGTGCATTCTTACAAGCTCTGATTAGGTCTGAATTTACTGAATGGAATTTATCAGCTAACGAGTAATAAATACCCGGCTGAAAACCAGATGATAAAGGTAAGAAATACCATTAGAGTGAACATCTAAGAGAAATCAATTACAGCCAGAGTTATCACAGAGCAAGATTATTTCATCCTTAGGAAATTCCAAGGAGTTTCATCCTTTTCAAGTTGACGTTGCTAACGTTGTTTAGAATGACAGGGAGAAATTAGCCACTTAAACGCCGAGCACGAAACGAGTTGAAAATATCTAGGTAAAATTAAATTTATTACCAACCACAGCCAATTCAGTTATCATTCTGATAATGCCACCCATATTGGACAAATTGCAAACAGAAACGTGTTCACTACACATAATACAACCGCATTATTTAGATTTTGGGTTCTGTAGGAATCTTTGTTAATTTCAGTGTAGATTTAGTCATTCACTGACATGAGGTAAAGACTCATTGAAAACAAAGCAGCCCAGGACAGCCGCTTCGTTCAAGCTATGTAATCTTCAACCCTGCATATCCATAACTCACCTCAAAGACCAAACCCAGAACTTTCAGCTTACCAAACCTGCCAGTTGACCACTCAGCCAATGGGTTGACATCCACTGTTTATATACTTGCTTTGTGAAATTCGCCACATATATTTTAATGAAGCATTTAAATGTTTCGTTTATACAGCAGACAGATTCGTGCAAAACCGTTCTTGAACGTGGTGAATGTGAGCCATGGTGGGCTAACTGGTCACCTTGGTCCAAGTGTTCAGCGACCTGTGGATTTACTGAAAGACATCGCTTTCGCCCTTGTGTTGGAGCATTCATTCGTCAAACCCGTAGGCAAGAAGTACAAGAATCACTTTCGAAATCATGTGCATCTATTAAAAGAGCACATGAAGGTGTTGAAACAGCCCCATGTCCAATGAGTCGTTTGTGTCCAATTGTTACAGGTGGATGGGGTGAATGGGGTGAATTCAGTCCATGTTCAGTCACTTGTGGTGTAGGCAAACGAACACGTCATCGTCAGTGTGATCGACCAAGGCCACAAGGTGGAGGTTTATACTGTCAGGGTACTGACTATCAAGAGGTAAATATACATACGTTCCTTTTTAATTAATAAAATAAATTTTCATCAACTCTAGACTGTAGCGTATACTGAGCTGAGTTTGTTTATAGCAAAACAATCAGTGATATACTACTTATTATTTTCTCGAAACGTTTTTACTGGAAGTCAGAATATTTCGTTTCACATAAGAATTTATATTACACGATTCTAATATATATCGGGAGTTATCTGTGACAGACAATTAAAAAACAGTCAACCGCCAGAAGAAAAGCTGACCACAAGAAATGAAGGAAAGAGGATTGGCTAACCAGTCATTTATAAACTTATTATTATTATGTAGTAGGAGTGCTGATGGCAAACAAACAACGAACAGTCTCTCTGAAGCTAAACTGAACCCGATACATAGTGTGTAAACAAGTACTGTGGCTTTAACAGACTCAGTTGAACATCTCATTCGCGCGGTACACATATACATTACTTCAAACGTATTCTGTATTTCTGTGTAGCGCAGAATATTACCTACCGTATTGACTTTGTAAATGATGGGAAGCGAATCTGTCAAATGAACAGCATCTTCAGTTTGCAAACCCTCATAATCGCAGAGTAGGCGAACAACACTACATTTAAATAATGCCAATGCATTGATGATGTGCTTCGTCGGAGTAAGCACTCTCCTTTCAGGCAGTAGGTACAAGTGTACAAGTTCCACTCCGCCAACCAGCTATCTACCTAAAACCAACTAGTCAGTTAAGTGGCTAATTAATTAACTAACTCACTGATTTATTAATGAATGAAGATTTAAACTGCTTATACATGACCAGTGAGAATATTAGGTGTCTTCAAACACTTTTGTAAAGTTAAAATGGTTAATAATCTTCTTTTCTTCGGTAGTTTGACTGAAAACAGTATGCAAATTCAACCTTTTTGAATAGTACAATGTCTGTTACATTAATAGTAGTGTTACTAAGCAATTCACATTATTCACAGTGATGTGAAATGTTCCAGGTCATGTATGATGCCATCTTGTTTTAATGATGGTGGCGATGACAATAATAATAATAATTTTATAAAATTGTTAAGATAATAAAGCAGATTTAAGTAAGACAATGGTGCTTTTGTGATTTTCATGGAAAAAATAATGCTCTAAATAGATATATTGTCTATAATGCATAATCACAGACTGTATCTAAATTTCAAGTGGATTAAACTACGACTCTGTCACTCGAAACTTTCCACAATATAAAGAAACTATAACCAATGTACATACATGATTCCGTAGACTCTTTATGATTTGCTTCTACGTGACTACTGAAATGTCTAACCACAGTTGCCTATATCCGCAGAAACTGTGTGACAATTAAGCCTGTTAATCAGCATTAAACACAACATTAAAGTCTGCTTCATCAGATAATTTTGAAACCAACTTAATAATACGTTTATTCTAATTTCAGAACACCGACATAAAATATATGAAATGCTTCTTTTTTCAAATTTACACAGATAACTTGTGAAGGGTTTCTTCCATGTCCTCAAATGGGGCAGTGGTGTCCTTGGTCACCAGTTGTTCAACAGTGTACACGTAGCTGTGGTCCACATGGGATGGGGTTAAGACTACGTCACTGTGCCTGTCCAAAACCGTCTCATGGAGGCTCTGACTGCAAAATCCCACCAGAAGCAGCAGATATGGCAGATTATGAAAGAGTTAAGGCGGCCACTACCAACAGCCCTGATGCTGCTAAAGGATTTGCAATCGAAGCAATAGCTAAAGGTGAAGGATTATGGGAGCCATGTAATCGTCATCACTGTCCATATCTAAGAACTTTAGATACTCAAGAAGAACCACTAGTCTCTCAAGATCTTATGCTTCAAAAGCCTGAGGATACCTGGATGTGGTCAGCTGGATCACCACAGAGAATGAACGGTCCTGTGCAACTATTCTGTCCACCGTCTCGCAGATCTCGCAAAGAAATATTTGATAAACCAGAACGTTTTCCGAAATCCAAGTCATATTGGACTCGCTCAGTACCAGCTTCCTCTAAGCAACCTAACGACAATCCAGGTGAACCAGTAGAGAATACAAAACTAATTCTTGTGGAAGGTGATCGTCTGACCATTCGCAGATTAGAACCATCCACTGTTGGTATTTACAGATTCGGTTATGAATATGAACCTGGTTATTTTGAGACAGTATGTTTCTTTCCCGTGTACATTCATAAGTGGGAACAAGTAAGTAATCAAGTAGTGCATAAATTTAATGGTAGTGTTCTACAAATTGATAGTGAATTCGTGTTCTGTTACGACATTATCGGGTTCGATCCCGGCATCTTACAAGACAGACGAAAGCAAGTGACAACGTTGCTTGAGAGGCAACACAATGAAAGATATTTTCATAATTTGTAAAAACATTTTTCTGTCATTCAGTTGTATCAATGACATAGGGAATAAATTAGATAAATAACGTGAAACGAATACAACAGCGCATCATCATTAGTAGATGCGAATAAAGAATAGGACACGATATTTGAACCGCAGTAGTTAACTCAAAACATCGCTAATTAAAACGGAGCTATTTGAATACCAGTTAACCGGTTATCTGACAGATCATTTAGTCTTAAATGCTCGACATTGCTAAATCTAATTTGCATTATTTAGTCAGATAAACAAAGTGTAAATTTGTCAGCTTAATAGCTGTCATCACAAGTGAAGTCTTTCCACACTGTTTCACATTGGAACAAAAGTTCATTTAATTAACATTACCCATGAATAATCCTATAACAAATGTCTCGAAAGAAATGGAGATAGATCGAATACACGCAGAGAAGACTGCTGGGTGACATCAAGCGACAGACCCTGGAGTTGGACTCGAATGGGAAACAACAAGTTGCGCGTCTGAGGTAGATATTCAGGAGATCGTGTGAAGAGGAGATGAGGGCTTATGGTCAGTCGTCGAGTCAGCTACAGAGAACTGTGGGGAACAGTATAAGGTGAAGACGTGCTGTTGAATGATAATGATGAATCTTATCATTCACTTGGGTATCAGTTGTGCTGTATTGCATGGTCAGCTTGGAGAATCCTACTATACGAACAAACAATGCTGGTTCACACCAGGAAAACAGGTAACTCATCACCATCACTGACATATAACACTTACATTGCTGATAGCTGAAGCAAGTCACATTCTAAAATTTACACTACATGTTTTACACTACTTTAATTGAAATAAGTAGAATACAGTTGTTTGTGTGAATATTTCTCTTTATGCACAGGTATTGACACATGGAATCACTTTTGACTTAGCTTGTAACTCCTTAGGAATGTGGCCAGTAATAAGCAAACCTAAAACGGGCAGATGGTTCACTTATTGGAATGTCAAACTGTTAAGAGACGCGGAGGATATAGAAAACGAAAAACTATGGTGGTATACAGAACTACGAAAACCCGATATTATCGAACAAAGCGAAACCACTCCAGTTGTGAATGAAACGAATAGTACATCACGACATGGAACAGGGCTGACTTTGTGGGATACGGAGTACAGAAGAATTTATGATGCTGTGGAAACAATGACTGGATATTATGAATGTCAAATATACAACAAAATCAATGCTACATATGGCAGAACATTTACAACACAATCACTTTATATTGTGATAAAACCACCTCCGGGTATCTGGATACTAGTAAGTCCTGGAATATTTATATCACAGTGCACTTTGTAAACTTGAGAACTTCACTATGGTTGACTGTTTTCATGCAAAGTAGTTAACCGCTGAAAACTAACACGGCTTTAAAGATTCGTTTCCGATGATACTTGAAAGTTTTCATTAGAAACTAATTAAAAATTTCAGTATACTTATATATTTAATAGAGACATTTTCACTTAGGATGCATAGACGTCCAAGCTCTCATGGCTGCATGATCTAGTTACGCAGATGAGTTTGGATACAGTTTCAGTTTGTTAAAGCTCTAGGTTCCGCGTAAACTTTACTACTCGGTTGTCGACCGATGGGAGCAAGGTTCGAACCTTGTCCCACCAACTTGAGCTGGGCCAACTGTATGTATCACCACTTTCCATATAACAGGTGTTCAACTCAGCTGCATCGATGAGAAATCCGTTCGGAGTAACCTAGAACTTCAGTAGATCTTTGTATTTAATATACTCAGTTATTTCAGCAGTTGGATGGCCAGGAAACAAACTGTTCTCAATGACCCAGCCCCCACTACAAGGTTATATACTTTCACTAAAACGGTAAGGATTACATGTGAACAACATTAGAACACCAATATACAGGTTAAACATTAGTCATGTTTCACCCCATCCACTCTAATAAATCAAACAGCTTTTCTAATATCTGGCCTTCAAAAGTATAGGAGGAGAAAAATACATGACACGTTGATTGTTTATCAAAATGTTGCCTAAAACTGACAGGAATTGTTATTACGAAAAATTTCCGAACACAAAAGCGATTGGACACCAAGTACCGGATAAGTAGTACATATCTCAGAGGGACTCATTATTACTCAAATATGAAACATTTATAACTGCCTTAGTTCCCACACAACACCACTACTAGCAATGATTTTTCAGTCTGCTGGATGTGAGCAGTCTTCTAGTTGTCCGTTCTGAATTGTACGTGAAGAAAGTCAAGAATATGCAGACACTGAACAGTTCTGAATGAATGTTTCAGATTAAATTAATAATAGGATATTAAATTTAAGGACATCACAATACATATGATAGATTGACTAGTATTCAAGTATGTCATCGAAGTAGCTTCATCAGCACGCTCGTCTCATCCTATGAAGCTCATCATGATCTGACGGCTAATAATGCAACCACATCTTGACAAATTTCAGATGACAATTGTGACATCTAAATGCAGTAAAAGACGAGCGTCCTAACTAGTATGGTTTAGACATATGCTTGAGGTGAATTGACACCTACGAATAGAGGTCTACAGGATGGAGAAGATAATTTGCTAAAATCATGTGACCGTGTTGAATTGAAAGTCAGGTGTCCACTCTACTGAATTATTGAACACATCATATATGGAATGTATGTTACTGTTATTAACAGCTTGATGGCGGCGTCTGTGATATCCTTACACTGCCAATCAGCACGAAAACTGAGTCCATGACTTCCTCCTGTCAATGATACCTTCTTTTATCTAAACGTTGCTCTTATCAAAACACAACAATTTGGCGTTTTTCTCATTTAGTCGAAACTTTCTAATTATCCCTGTATCACTTGAGTTCCAAGTTGGACTTCAGGAAATCGATGAATCAGCATTCACTATACAAATGGTTTCAGTATGAATTAAGGATTAGTTGAACACAAACAGCAGCACCTATGCGTTGTGACATAAATTATTTGAGTTAGTTTTAAAAGTATAACAACTCTCCTCTACTTTTTTTTTTCTTTCCAGCTGAAAGAGTGGTGTATACAACATAAAGTCAGTTTGCTCATACTACTTATCGTTGGAATTCTAAGTAGTATATCATACGGATTATATCTATGGGTGAGGGCGAAAAAATTGGCCAGATTAGAAATTCTCGCAAAAGAAGCTAGAAACGAAAGACAAATGAAGAAACTTCAAGAAATTGACGCGTCGACTAAGTGAGAAGAGTTTCCTGACTATAATTAAACTGGTCAACGCCAATTCATCACCAGCATTTTAAAAACAATAGCATGTAATTGCCTCTCAACTTCTAATTGCGTAATATACTACGATTTCTAGTTTAAAAGTAAAGTACAAAACGTGTGGTGATGAAGAATAATTAGATCGGTACAAGCAAATGCAATTTACAAACTCAACTGAATTCTTAACACAGAACTATGTACACAAACATTCTGAATGTTTCTTATTGGAGCAGTAATGTTACTTTTTGTTCTTAATAAATTTCTAATTCATACTTCGGTGTTCAACTATGGAGACACTAACAGCTGGAAAGTGGTAAACAGAAACAGCTGGTAGTATTAAAAATACACGATAAGTTTAGAAAATAAAAGTGAGTCTGAGCATCAACTCTCAAACCCACAGAAGAAGCAAGCATTTCCATGCACATCGTAGACCAACAGGTAGTGACTTTTCAACACCGTCGCTTACTGCCTCTTGTTTGTTCAAACACTCGTTCAACTTGCGCCAAAATGATGATATGCCTGAAATCCAATTTGCAGCCATACAGTAGAACACGACACATTGATGAACCACACATTCCACACACTTTTCATGGACGATATCTGCTATCTCAACGACTCCACAAGTACTTCAATTTGGAAAAGTCAGAGGAGGCTTTTGTACTCACGCCACGATTTCAGTAGATATTACCTAAAAACATGTAGTCTAACTCCACATAAAAACGAAACGTGGTTAACTACTTCACTCCTTTTCATAATGTAGTGTCACGAAGTGGACTAGTACTGAAGCAACATTTCGCGTGTGAAAAGTAAAAAACACATTCTACATATTCCTGTATTATCACTCGGAATAATTTGGTTGGTTGTGACTAACAGAGGAATTTTGGAAGTTCATTTAGGCACACAGATGCCTAAGTCGACTGATTTCTTGATACAGTCTGGACTGCTGGAGAGACCCGAGAGAAATTCAAGAACATATTCGAAGGCGTTACATCGCTTTCTTTTATGCGTTGACTGACACTATGCAAACTTCGTGGACGGCTACGAAGACTGCCAAGATGGATGGAAAGTTACTAAGATATTTTCATCGGAACAGACTTCAAAATACTGTCAGGATTCCAATCACTAAACGTCGTCTGCCGTATGAAAACCGTGTAGTATTTGTTTGTACAGATTTGGCTTGAATACTACACTACTATGTTAGAATGGGATAAAGTGGATACAATAGAACACCTGTTTCCTTTTTGTAAGACAAACTTAAGTGGATCAGCCTATTCAAACATTCCAAAGACTAAACCTTTATTCAATCTTCTGCCGAAGGTCAGACGACGTCAAGAAGGTCGTTTTGGGTAGTGATTACACTGAAAGCAGTTAGCATTGTAGTGTTAATCGTTTACGCTGTGTTGGGGGGTCTAAGGGCGAAGTCCTAATCCGGTTGAATAGAGATGTAACAACGGTTAAGCATTTCTCTCGAACTACCAACAAGCTGACTATGCCACCCATCCGCCCTGGAAAGCTGTGATCAGGAAGGGTCAGTCCTGAAAATTGAACATACCAAATCGCCTTGTGGTAACCCGCAGTAGGTAACAAGACATTAATACATATACAAATTCGGAAACCAGTTCTCAGACTGTTTGTTCCATAAGCCCTACAGTCACACAACACTAATGCTGCTTCTACTTCAGTCATTTCAATAAGAAGTCAACTTCCAGTGTCAGCAGCCAGGGCTACCTTGACGTGGTGGTCGGGCTTGAACGCCACAATGACCCAACAAGCTATACTGGCAGGAACTTATGTTCCTGCAGGTCCTACCATACCAGAAAGGTTGTTTGGATAGCGGTTAGACTAAAAGCAGTTACCCAATCCAACCCTATGACTTCAAATAAATCACAAAATATCATGGCGGATCGGTCGGGGCCCGGATTAACAACGACCGCGCTTTCTGCTGCCGTGTCACAGGGCAGAAGTGATAAATATGCTACTGAGACACACCAAATGAAAAACAACAAACAAAAGCAGGCCGTGTGCGACCGGCCTCAAGCAGTTGTCCCTTGGGCTCTGCGGTCACGAAACCAACTTCCACGGTGTGGGCAGCCGGGAAGTAACAATCGCCCTCGCAATCCGAAGTGCAAGCGAAACCTCTCTAATCCTCACTCACTTTTGTCTTCATCTTCATCTCTATTATCTTACCTTGCTTCTACTAATGCAACTCCTCTACTTAATGGCTCTTCACTTCCTCTTCACTCTGTGTGCACTGAAAACGACGGAAGCCAAAAAACCACTATCGATAGTCTCCTAAAGCCACGTCACCAATTTCATATAGGGGCATTTAATGTTAGGACACTTTGCCAAATAGGACAACAAGCATCACTAGCCAAGACTCTGGCATCCCGAGCCATTGATGTATGTTGTGTTTCAGAAACACGCATACAAGACCCAAGTGTGGTTATTCACTTAACCCCACCTGGCCAACAGGATGAATCTACAAAATTCACCTTGAGGGTGTCAGGAGATGCGACGGCTAGCTCACGAGGATTAGCTGGTGTTGGGATAGCTTTGAGTACTAGGGCAGAAAATACATTACTTGACTGGATCCCGGTAGATAGCCGAATGTGTGCTGTCCATCTGAACGGATCAGTGAAAAGGAGAAAGGACTGCACTACTCGCCGATGCCTTTTCGTAATCTCCGCCTACGCCCCCACTGACTGCAGTTCGGATGGAACGAAGGATGAGTTCTACCAAAAGCTGTCTAGTTTGCTGCAAAAGGCTAAACGCTCAGATATAGTCGTTTTAGCTGTTGACTTTAATGCTCAAGTGGGGAAATTGTGTCAATCTGAGAAGAATGTCGGTGGCACATACGGAATTCCGTGCCAGAGAACCGACAACGGTGACCGTCTCCTACAGTTCTGTTCAGATAATCACTTGTTTCTTGTAAGCACTATCTTCAAACACAAGGAGAGACACTGTTTGACCTAGCGACCTCCATCATCAAACCAACGCTGGACACAAATAGACCACATAGCAATAAGCTATCGTTGGCGTGGGTCGGTAGGGGATTGTCGCTCCTTCTGGAACACGTGTGTAGATACCGATCATGCACTGGTCCGCGCTCGTGTGTGCTTACGACTGAACGGACGTAGGAAACAGCTAGCGGTAAACCCACCACGTCCCCAGCTCGATCAGGAAACTAAGTCCCTATTTGAGGAAGAACTAGCTAAACACATATCTGAGTTCGACAGCTGCGTTCACCCTGAAGAAGCCTGGAAGAATATTCAATCAGCCATAGATACAGCTGTAAAAGCTGTGAATAAAGTAAATCCAAAGGTGGGTAAAAACCATTGGATTTCGACTGCCTCATCAGAACTGATAGATGCTAGAAGACTTATTCCGGCGAGCTCCGAATTCAGTGAGGAGCGAAAGCTGCACAAAAGGAAACTTACGAGAAGTCTCCGCAAGGACCGCGAACAGTGGTGGTTGAAAAAGGCGAAAGAGATGGAAAAAGCATCGGCGATAGGCAACACTAGGCAACTCTTTAGACTCATCAGGGAAACGGGTGGGAGAAAGCAAATCATAAGTGAGACTATTTGTGAGAAAAATGGCTCCTTAATTAGCTCTCAGGATAGACGCCTCGAACGCTGGAAAGAACACTTTGAGGAACAATTTAACTTGCCTACAGCCACACTGAGCCTCCTCGCCACCCAGCACACACCCGAATGGGACATAGACACTGGCTCGCCGTCTGTAAGCGAGGTCACCAAAGCTATCTGTAATTTGAAACGAGGCGAAGCGGCAGGACCCGACGGAATTATTCCGGAGGTGTTTAAATATGGGGGTGACATACTAGTATATAGTTTAACTAAAGTACTAGGTAACGTCTGGGAATCAGAGACGGTTCCATCAGATTGGGGTAAGTCACTTATTATACCAGTATTCAAGAAGGGAGACAAGTCGTCATGTGATAATCATAGGGGGATCAGCTTAACGAACATAGTCTCTAAAATCCTAGGCTCAGTAATCATGAACAGACTAAGCCGAACTCGGGAGGAACAAATGAGGGAAAATCAAGCGGGCTTTAGGCCAGGTAGAGGGTGCATAGATCATATCTTCACTCTCCGACAGATCCTAGAACATAGACACACTTTTAGGCGTCCAACAATTGCCATATTTCTTGACTTGAAGGCGGCCTTCGACTCCGTGGATCGAGAGGTACTATGGCAATGTTTGACTATGAAGGGAGTGCCAAGAAAGTACATTGCACTAATCAAGGCACTCCACTCAAACTCACGTAGCTGTGTAAGGGCTTATGGGGAATTGTCATCTGAATTGATAACAACCAGTGGTGTCCGTCAAGGATGTCCACTTTCCCCTTTTCTGTTTAACTTCATCATAGATATGCTAGTGGAAGTATCCTTAACTAAACTTAACGACTTACGAATCGACTTGTTACCAGGGAATAGTCTTATAGACTTAGAATACGCAGACGACATAGTCCTGTTAGGAGAGGACGCTGACACAATGCAGAGTCTTCTGAACACCTTGAGCAGCAATCTTCGTATGTTTGGCATGCGATTCGCCCCTGTGAAATGTAAGATGCTGCTACAGGACTGGACTACGTCTACCCCTAGCTTAGTGATAGGGAGTGAAGTGATAGAACATGTTGACCACTTCACCTATTTGGGAAGTTGTATCAGCACCAACGGATTGATTAGTGACGAAATCACAGCACGGATCCAGAAAGCTCGGGCTGCTTTCGCTAACTTACACCGTCTCTGGCGTAGGCGTGACATCCGGCTGTCAACCAAGGACGTGTATACTGCTCAGCAGTTCGCTCCGTCCTTCTCTATGGCGGTGAGACGTGGCCATTGCGAGCCGAAGACATGAAGAGATTGTCTGTTTTTGACCACAGATGTTTACGATCTCTTTCTCGCGTTAGGTGGTATAATAAAGTAAGTAATGTTGACGTTAGGCGTAGAGTGTTGGGCAAAGAGGGAAAATCACTCGAAGAGGCTATAAAGTTACATAGATTGAGATGGTTAGGTCACGTGCTGCGCATGCCTAACCATCGTCTCCCCCGACAGGCATTACTAGCTGATATAGGTGCAGGTTGGAAAAGAGTAAGTGGTGGCTAAACAAAAACATGGCCTCATCAATCCATGAAATCCCTGACAGTTAAACTGAGTCAGGTAGGGAGATGCAGACTTCCGCGTTGGAGCCCTCGGGACTCTAAGAACCAATGGCTGGAGACAATAGGTGACATGGCTCAAAATCGTTGTCAATGGCGTAGATGTATTCAGTCTCTTTAACCTTCATATTCCTTTCTACCACTACTCATTCTGTTCCACTCTTATACTTATCTAAATTCTATTGATTCTCTTCTCTCATTTTCCTGTCTACCTTTGTGTGCTATTTGGAACGTGGCAACTCGAACTGCTGCACTTCGGTGCCAAGTTCTATGTTGAATCCAGCAGCAGCAGCAGTCAGCAGCCAGGAAACAGTTACAGTCCACACACTTCGATAAGCACGCAGTACTCTCCTGAACATCAACTACTCACTAGGTGGACCCACCACCTCCTTTAAACTCGTCGACTGTTAATGCTAACTAAAGCCAGAAAAACACCAGTGACGGTCTGTTGAAACCACACCGCTAAATTCTTATGGAAGCATTAAACATCGGGACTCTTTCTCAAATCAGACAACCGGCTTCATTAGACAGAACTCCAGCATCTCGAGCAATGAATGTATGTTGTGTTTTGGAGACACACAGGCAAGACCTAAGTGTGGTTATTAGCTTAACCACACCTGGAAAACACTTTGAATTCACAAAACTCACGTTATTGGAGTTGCTGTTTTAGGGATAGCATTAAGTGCTACAGCAGAAAACTTCCTACTTGACTCCATTCCATTGGGTAGTCATAAGTGTGCTGTTCTTCTGAATGTATGCGTTATAAGGAGGAAAAATTGTGACACTCATTTATGCCATTCCATAATATCTGCTTACGAATCAACAGACTGCAATTTGGAGGGAGCAGAGGGTGAGTTTTGTCAAAGGCTGTCTATACTGCTGCTAAAAGTAAAACGTTCAGTAAAGTACATTGTTGACACATATGGAGTCCCAAGTCGATGAACCGATGAGAGAAATAGTTTTCTACAATCGAGTTCAGATAATCGCCTCTACCTGACAACTACTAATTTCAAACAGGGAGATACACTGACTAGCATGACAGCCTGCACCACTACCAAACCAACAACTGACTCGAACAGAACATACAGCCGTAAGCCATGGATAAACAAGGATGGTGAAAGATCACCGCTTCTTATGGAACAAGTGCAAAAAATTCTGGACAGATATGTTATCACGAGGAACAATCGCTACTGAGAACCATCTATTGGTCGCTGACCACATTGCAGACAGTCTGAAAGCAGTCAAAATAATCAACAGGCAGAAGAAATATAGCTTGCTACATGGCACTCAGACAACCGCTAACATATGCCTAAAGAAACATTGGTGAACCTTACACTTCTTTGGTGATTAAGCCTACAGAACAAAGCTACACAATTTTTACTCCATTATGTATTCTTCTATGTCTCCCATTCTGTCTAGATAATTCTACTGTTTCATCTGAAAGTCACTCACCTTACTGCATTTGTGCCATTTTATAAAACCTCATTTTCCGTAGTTGCGTAACCCACTGTATGGATATTCTATTCCTATTTAAACGCTCTTCTAACTAGAAGTTTTGCACTCTGTCTTATTCTGGAATATTCATAACCATAAATAATCTGACAACATACATCACTTCGGACTTGAGATACTCACAGTGCCCATCAATTACTACTTCTTATCAGGAATAAATGCGTTCAAATCGCGGAATAATAAAATATTAGCTCATTCTGTCATGATACATTCGTCCTTCCCGCTTTATTCCCACTAGTTAATACTAGAATTGGTATGAAGTTCAGTAGACCTGATGAAAACCCTAAGAAATAATATGAATGCACATTATTCCTTAGAATTTGTTCTCATTGTGTCACTCCAAAAATAAAGTTGCTATGGATATATCAGTATGCTACTTCATACTTCGTTGGGAATTGCAATGCTTTATGGCACCCCAAAGCACCGACCAGAAAACACTGATACTGATATGTATGAGGAAGTTATAACTATATGACTACGTTATACTCGTTCGCATATATAATCAGTTCATAAAAATACCAGTAGCCGGAAACACCAGACATCAGAATAGCGCTGTTTGTTTGACAATAACTGATGTCTCATCAGAAAGGCCCACGACACAGATGATGTGCTCCTACTCGATCGAAATTAGTCGGAATGCCACTCAAAAATGGCAACGACACCCTCTCCTTCTACAAAGTCTCCTATTTACTTCAAGTAGAAAATTCGTCAACACTGTAGTCATAATCGAACCCATTGCGCTTAAACGTCTCTGTAGACAGTTCAAGATAATCAATAACACAGGATAATTCTACTGATAATTCATTGGTGAATCTATGCACATAATACTGTTCTAGTGAACTGCTGCAGATAAGAGTTCAGACTTCAATCACACACTTCAGTCAATCAAAACACCGCATACAGAGATTATCATTACCAACCATGTGACTTTAACGCAAAACAGCACAATCTAGCACAATTGACATTGTTATTATTATTATTGTCATTATTGTTTTTTAGCCAAAACTCCTGTACACAGTTAGAAGGAAAAATAGTCATCAATTTGCCATTACTAATTATAATGAATTGAGAAAATGGCATGTCCTCTTCGATCCAAGCAGTACAAGTAATGCTGAGGTTAACTGATCTCTCTTATCACTCACTGCTGTAACACATTCTACTATGGATCATGCGTAATATCATGGTAGGATTACTGCACAATAGAAAAGCAAACATATGTTTTCATTCAGCGATAGAAACAATACGCTCTATTAAGAGCAGATAACAGGTGGCGCTCATGTTCTGCATAACAGTAGTAGAATTAAACAACTTTGTCAGGAGAAATATCTCAGTAAACGTGTAGATGATTATCTACTGTCAAATTTATTTCCTCAATGATGTTATGCACTATCAAATACTATATAACTTCATATGCATACTACTGACACTGGGAAGTGTCTGTATTCAGTATCTGAATTAAACTTCGCATGTAATTCTCTGTATATATATACGTATATATGCACATATATTGAAGAAAGATACCAATTAAGTAGTTTTACGATAAAAGTAGCTGCATATTGTTGTTTTCATTTGTCTTTCTTTGTTCAAGACATCATGTAGGAATGTAGCTTTCTTACTCATCATTTAAACGTCATTGAAGTGGAAACGCACTTGCTAAACCAGTGATATGTGATGACAGCTGTTGTGATAACTTCATTCGCTGTGTGTCGTCATTATTCTGAAAGTAATTCCTTTGAGCAAGAGGATTTGTGTGACTTTGTACACAGTCGACAGGTTGACTGAAACAATGAACAGTAGGACTTGCTCTATGAAGTTGGTTACTTTCAGATAAAAAGGGATCTGCCGTAATTGCAGACTGCTTTCCGTGTAGAAATCCACCTGACGAATTACTTGTTGATGTCATCATTGTTTCGCCAGTGAATTTATTAGGCAATAAGTTCTGCATATACTTATGTTGACTATGAGACAGTAACTGACTAGCTTGAGAACTTGGTCGCACTGGAATTGGACACTTGACACCACCATTAGGATGCACAACACCGGTTATCTGTCCTTTTGAACACTCTCCAGTGAGATATCTGCAAGAAGAATTAGCCCTTTGGTTCCAACCGGCATAACACCCTTCACCCCCAAGATTAACACGTATATTCGAGCAGTTGGTATCATAAAACATACAGGAGTTATTTATCGGAAGCTTAACCACTCCAGGTTGACTAGTAGGTACATTTTGGTTGTAAATCGAAGAATACTGTAATGCATTATTTGTAAAAGGATTTATCTGTGAATAAGAGTTACTAGATGTCGATGGAGTCAAGCAGTTTGACAAAAACTGTGTACCATCTACCATATTCGTTGTATGATAAACATTTGAATGATTAGCAGTTTCAGCGTTCTGTGCAGCCACCACCATGTTAGTACTTTTCAATTCATTACCGTAGGCCAGTCTTTCAACGAGCTCATCTAACCGCTGTTGAGAAGTAGACGACGAAATCGACTTGACTGGTGCAGAAAAAGTAGTTAGGATGTTCGAGGATTTCTCCGGACAAACATGAGTTTGGCCAAATTGTTTGGCTGGATAAATCGAATTGACATTCGGATTTGTACCGGCCAACTGGTGATTAGTGAATTCTAGCCCGGTATATTGAGGGTTGGCTTGATGATGAAATGCTTGACTGAGTGGAGCTAGATAAGTCATATCTACACCAAAAGGATAAAACTGAGGTGATGAAAGTAGTGAACTTGCATATGGAATGTTTGAAATCGTTGGTGTACTAGTAGGTGCCACAAAATTTGTACTTGATGTTTGATTAGGTGGTAAGGGTGTGAAAGTAGGATAGTGTGTTTGAGAGCCATTAGTAGTAGGATTGAATGCACTATAGGGAGGCGAATGACAATCTGGTGGGTGCTGCTTTCCATTATGCGCGTAACTTGTTCCATTAGGTAGAAAAGGGATTGCAGTTTGAGAACTCGGATCCACATGGCCAACGAAGTTTGCGCGCGCAACCAGAAAGTGTCCTATTCTATTCGGAGGGACTGGTAAGAAGTGGTAGTAACCATATTGTGATGAATTCAAACTTGGCGCCACTGTGAAAGAACCTGTTTGACCAGAAGTGGTCACAGAATAATGAGCATAAGGAAGTCGATACGCAAACGATGGAGATGATGAAGGGTGAAGCATTCCGCTATAAGATAATTCTTTGGAATCTGCCACTTCATTGCAGCAAACAGCACCAACGGAATTGTTCTCATGCAATAATTCTGCTGGACTCGGACTCACAGGCTTATCAGAACATTGACTCGACGTGCATAACATTTCGGATTTAAGCGTTGAAGAACGACAGGGTCGAAGGGGTAAACACAAGATGTGCGGTGATGACATCGGGAGTTTGCCGATGAAAATAGATTCATGGTTGAGCGAGGCTTTGAGTGTTTCCAGCTCGTTTTCGTGTGAACAAAGCGGATTTCTAGGATCCTTCAATTTCACCTTTGTATTATATGCAACGCGGTTTGATAATCTTCCTGAAAGATGAAAGAGAAAACTCCATGAGTTACTGTCGTTGAAAGCTCTCACATTTCTGCATAAAAATATGTGATTCATTGAAAATCTCTGCATTCGCAATTATCCTAAATTTGAAAAATGGTCTTAAACTTTGTTCGTTCTCGTCAGCACAACAGTAACTAAACCATCTATTGGCTCCACAAAGCAAATGAAGTGCATTTAAGCTTAACAGACTATTCAATCAGACTGTTTCTATGACTTCGAACCATATGTGTTTTGTTAGGGTACAGGTGAACCAGATCAAACGAAGTAGATACTGTTGGATTCAAACTTCGTTTGGCTTTGTTTGTCAGGTTCAGTGATACACTTCTCTCCAAATAAGAAGAATTAAATGCAGCACCAATGGTTTATTCGTATTCGTTTCTCGCTAACATTGTCTACCATTCTATATGCTGCTTCTGTGACAGGTATAGCTTCATTAAGTGAGTCAGTACTACGCCTCGCTGATTAAGTGGAACTCGGAAACAGTTAAGTGTGGCACTGACAACCCTATCCCATGAAACAACACCATTCTCGCTACTGAAACTTCGAAGCACAGAAAAGATAAGCTTCTTATTCTCCACGGTAATTTGGAAGAATTTTCGATTCCTAGACAAATGATGCTGGCAGTTGAAGGCCTTTGGTAAGCAACTCGACCGGTGCCTCTAACTTTGACGAAGACAAAAGTATACATAGTCACATGGAATGCCCATTTCACCTTCGAGGTTGGAAAAGCTGCTCAGATCGTACAAGGAAGAGAAAAGGTGCCTTGCAGACGTCTTAGTGGTCTGAGACAGCAGATGGAATTCGTGTAAGTGAACTGTCCAAATGGTTGACTAGAAAGATAGTAATCTACTCCGGTCATCCAGACGACAACCACTGTCATACTAACAACATGACTATCACCACGTCAACAACAGCACAGCACAGCACACTACCATGCAGTGGAAATCAATCTCCTTCAGGATCATGACAGCAAAATGCCGCTCAAAATGTCAGGATAATCACAATTCTGCAATGATACTCGCCTACAAACAACACAGACCCAGTGAAGGAGAAGAAAAAGTAGTGGAGAGAATCCTACACACAAACAGCCGCAAGCAGGAATGCACAAAACAACTACCAGAAATGGCGACATCAAAATTCTACTGGGTGATTTGAACGCCAAACTGGGAGCAGACAACACAAGAGAAGGACACATCAGCTACCTGGTGAAATGAATGAGAACGAGGAGCTGTTGTTTCCAAACACCTGTGACTTCAACAACTTCGTCATTAGAGGCAGTGTGTACAAGCACAAGGATATCCACAATACAAATTGAGTTTCCCTACGTGGACGTAGTAAAGCTCAGATAGATATCATCTCCATCTACTGGACACAAGATGGAGAAGGGGAGCAGGTGTAGGCTCAGATCACTCACTGTCTTGTACAAGAAACCTTTCACATCACTTTTAATACCTTCAAAGAAACTGTCGACAAGCCAGAGTCCAAGTCCAACACACACAAACTGAAGAATGACGTCATGCAGAATACCTTCACTTCAGGAAACATCACAGATACTTAGCAATGTCACGAGGATACCTGAGTGGAAGAACAGTGACACTTTCTGAAAGCGAAGTGAAAGAAAACCTGTATAGATATCTTGAACAAGAAGAAGAATAAGTAAGACACCAAATGACTTATCCTGGATATCTAGAAGGTGGAAGAGGAGAGAAAGATGGTGAAGGAGAAAATGGAACAGTGCAGTAAAAGGGCCCTCGACACCAGCGTCAACCACCAAGTAATTTAGCCGCTAATTCAACACTCCGGAGTGAAGTGCCACAAACATCCATCAATCTCGTCCAGCAACTACATATTGATGCCAAATGCTAAGTGATCCACAAGAGAAAGCTCACCACAGCTTTCTCAGTAATACCACATGTCTGTCTATGGTCACCAGTGGTCTTCCTCATTACAGTGAACCGGATCATATAGTACACCCCAAGGAAGTGAAAAAAACAGGCATACGGTGGACCCAAATAATGATAGCGCGTCGGTGGCACAACGGTTAGGACGCTCGCCGATCATGCACATTTTCCGGGGTTCGATCCCCAGCCGACGCACTGATTTACCTCTCTAAGCCAGAAATAAAATCTGGTAAATAGGAAAGATTGGGCATGAGGCTAGCAACACCATCCTGTGAAAATAAACACCGCTACAGAAACTTCAAACTAGAGGCTTGAAGCCCTATGTTCCACTGGGAACGTGAAGGAATTAATAATAATAACAATAATAATAATGACAATGGAAGATGTGAATATTGTAGAGAATTCAGGTCAGAACTAGGGGATATACAAACAAAGACCAACAAACCCTCAGAAGAGGCAGTGAATACAGGACATCAGATGAACACAGAAACGATAGAGATTATGGAGATATCCATTCAAGAATAACAGAAACAAATCACTAGCGAGAGAGGCAGAATGAAGCGAATTGTCCCTCCTACTTGCCTCAGCAGCATCTTTTCAACTACAGGTGGCATGGATAACGATGTCGAAGCCAGTAAGTCATTACACTGAAATCAATGTGAACATCTGCAAGACTCAGCGCAAGCAACGAGATTCGAATTCAGAAAAGTAGTTTCAAGTTATTGCTTTATATATGGAACAGATACATGGCACGAGTGTCACCTATAGCGTTTCATCAACATCTATCTTCAATCGACACTGAACATTAAATGGCTGATAAGAAGGGACAGTCGACAAGGAAGCCTGACAGACAGCAAACCACCTAAAAGTCACCCTAAACAACGAAGAAATCTGCAGATGAAAATGGAGGTGAATAGTGACATCAAACGAAAGGCCATCGAGTGGAGGCTGATCCGAAGGTCGCGAATTGGTGGTCCGAAGGAAATAGAACTTGGGTCAGGTCAGTCACGGAGCCAGCTGAAAGTGATTACACAGGACGCAATGCAATAACAGTGTACAGAAGAAGCCTCATGTTTCACTTGCAACGCAAAATAATACACAAAATCCGTATACTTTCAACTCACGTGTGTGTAGGATAAGAATTCAACTCGTGACTTGAAGGCACACTTACTGAATACCAACACAAAGATTATCTACAAGTGGTTATTCACACTCACATTCATGGATGATGACAAATACATACTGTGAAAAATATCTACAAAAAATACTGCAAACATTCAGACTTACCTATAAAGTCCTCACAAAGACACACTGTGCGCTGAAGACCACGACCTCTTATTGAAACCACAAAATCCATCGCCTTTAACAAGGTTACCAACGATGGATAATTATAATTCTCTGCTTTTAACGGAACACCAAAATGTTTTCGGTACATGGTACACAAATTTACAAGCAAGATCTTCCCATTACTGTGACTTAATAGCTCTTTCAAGTCGCCGGCGAGTCTGATCAGTGGACGAAGAGCTATAAAGCAATTCAATAGTATTGCCAATGGAATTTTCGTACTGCGCTTATCATCACACACATTCTGAAACGGATCGCTTTGAAGTTGAGTATGTCTATAGTGAGGAGGATTTATTATGTCATATGGAATCGCTTCATCCGATGAGCTACATGACATTGCGCCACGTGGATTAGGCAAATCCTTCCGAAGCTGTTCAACAAAAACCGGAAAACGAATAATACCATAAAGTGAAAGTAAAAGGTAGAAATCGCTTACGAAACAAAAACTTCGAACTAAAACCGAACCGCGTAAAATATGCATCTCTAACAAAATATCCACAATCAAATTTAAAATGCTTAAATATCACGGGTTTCAAAGAAGGAAAGCATGAACACATTTGCAAGATAATACGAGCGCATTTCATCTCATGGATTATTTCCAAATGCCTACATTCGAAACAGTATCAAAGTATAAATTACAAAATTTCTGAATCCACCTTTTTCACAGTGACTTCAGGTTATGCATAGAAAGTTTATGTAATATAATTCTTAAATGATGCAAGTGGACAAATTACTCAGTGTTTAAAGGTCAACTGTTTATTGTATTGTATTGCATTGTATTGTATTGTATTGTATTGTATTGTTAGACAAGAGTGGGAGCAGAGTTCAGATTTTGTCAAGAAACAAAATCGATTCGAGCCAGTGAACAAGGTCGAAGAGTGGAGTTAATTTTATCAATAATATGAAGGAAGCTAAAGGCAAAATTATGACACACAAATATAAGCGAATTCGAAAAATTAATAGTGAGTTGAATTCAGTTAGTGAAAATCATAATTAAATGAAATATTACCTATAAGATTCAAATGAACTGTCGTCAAGATTTGACCGAATAGTTCTAAAATATTTGGGCGCCGAGTGAGAAGTAGACATTTGTAAAAAATTATATTTGTAATATCTCAGCGATATTGAAATGAGTAATTCCAACGTTTCGTTCGGCAATCTGGTCCGAACTTCTTCAGGGAAATTAATCAAAATTAACATAACAGAGGTTTTATATATAAAAGGCACATCTTTTGTTTTTAAAAACTTTGTCCAATCATGATTCATAAACACAAGTATTAACAAGTATAATAAACAAAATTGTATGAGCTGTGATCAAAATTTGACCTCGGACTTACAAATATTGGTCTACCTTTGTTAAACACTTTAAACAGAGTGTGCATGCGTGTGTGTGTGTAAACAGTTGTAAAACATTTCTTAACGTCTCCATAGGAAGATATAGACAGTCAGGAATTTGACCAAGTATTATTAATTAGTGATACATATCCATTTTTATTTATTAATCAGGATTTCCTATGCATCAGCTAACATCAAACCTTCATGTCCGTTCAAACTGCTAGTATCTAGAATTTTATGATTAGACGTATTTTCAAAATTATGGTGTTTAGGATTAGAGTTTAGTTTAAGCACCCTGTCGAACTTATTGCATTGTCTTCTTTCTGAATATTGAGCTGCTTTATTCGACCTACTGGAATTGTCAGGTGACTCGACAGCTACGGATCTAGGATGTACATTTTTTTCCAGACAACGGAGACTGAAAACACGATGATTGTGCCAATTACATAGTTTCTTTGTTAATTTAATTCGATAGCAAAATAATTCAAATGAACTGTCGTCAAGATTTCACCGAATAGTTCTAAAATATTTGGGCGCCGAGTGAGAAGTAGACATAGGAAATCCTGATTAATAAATAAAAATGGATATGTATCACTAATTAATAATACTTGGTCAAGTTCCTGACTGTCTATGTCTTCCTATGGAGACGTTAAGAAAATGGTTTACAACTGTTTACACACACACACGCATGCACACTCTGTTTAAAGTGTTTAACAAAAGTAGACCAATATTTGTAAGTCCGAGGTCAAATTTTGATCACAGCTCATACAATTTTGTTTATTATACTTGTTAATACTTGTGTTTATGAATCATGATTGGACAAAGTTTTTAAAAACAAAAGATGTGCCTTTTATATATAAAACCTCTGTTATGTTAATTTTGATTAATTTCCCTGAAGAAGTTCGGACCAGATTGCCGAACGAAACGTTGGAATTACTCATTTCAATATCGCTGAGATATTACAAATATAATTTTTTACCTATAAGAATTCAGAATATAAAAATGAACACACAAACAAAACTGTTACAGTGGAACAGTCATCACACTATCTCTCTATATACAAAGTTCGCTTTGAAATCTATTCACTGAAAACGTTTTTTTCAAATCAATTCAACTCCTGTTCTAAAAGTAACTCCTATCATTGGTTCGCGTGTTTTTAGTGCTAGCCTGCGCTGGATAGATGGTCACAACAGGGGTTAGAACCAGTTCGAAAAATGTCAGCAGTTCATACTTTTAAGGATTCTTCCCAAATTTTACAAGAACTAGGTAAACTGAATATATTTCCAACAAACGCCTCGTTTCATACGAGAATGGTTGACTGTTTACATATTCCGGTCTAAAAACAACAGTATTATCATTCTGTTTGCACGTCTTTCAATGCTATCGTGTACTCTATAGTAAAGTAACTTCACCTCAGTCAGATTACAAAACGCATGTGAATCAATCTCAGTGTAACTAATGCTCAGATGGGAATAAGTAATGCATTTCTCACACATACATTTTTACATGCTCTAATCCTAACCGTGGAACATGAGGAAGGTGTTACGTGTAAGATTCTCTGTTCACTAATTAACACCATCGAGCTATACATCCAAAGAATAGTTTTTAACGGAGTTATGTTCAAAGGAGTAATTACCTAAACGGACTGTTTTACGTATCTCCTTAATGCATTTACCATCACCTTTGCATAATAGAAAATACAGGAAAACTGCTTCTGCCCCAGTTTTCAACCCCTATATCGCAGCTAATTTTCCTCAGAAATTGCTTTACCTAAGGTGTTTAGGACAACTTCACTATCTTTTATCCTCTCATTCTACTCTGAAAGAGAAAAAGGCCCTTGTGATGTATGCCATGATAACCAATGCAAGTCGGAAAACCCGTCGATTAAGCTGAGTGATTTCTTCCTGATACCTTTCTCTTTTCGAATTGCTCATCATCACGTAACAGTAATACCGATCATTTTCAAAATATCGATTTTCAGGTGTATAATGACTGACTGTGCGAGCCATTGGACACTGACAGTCGGTGTATCCAAATTCAGTTGTTTCGTGACATTGCTTTCATACTTAGATGTGGTTAACCAGGTCAAATTAGATACATACCTCTTCTACAAGAATTCTAACACTAACTTCACAGGACAGTGAGAAAATCAACTGACATAACCACATAAAACAATCAGTCTAGTGGAGTTAAAGTTTGCATTACCTCTACAATACTTTCCAATTCTTCAAATATTACATCCAACACAGGTTCGTTTCTAAACTGATATCGGAACCGTTCGTAAAACGACAGAACAGACGTAGCTCCAAGCTGATATTGTTGCAATATCAAAATAACCCTGCGCGCTAAATGTCTGATCGCTGTTCGATCAACTAAGCACACATATTCAACAGCATTGTAATTCGGGGTGAAGTTTTCAATGGCTGCAGTATTTCCCACTTTCGTATCTGCTACTTGATCACCATCTTGATTCGGTTCGGTCTGTTGCTCTCCACCTTCAATAGTTTCAGTTAGTTTACCTTCTGATGACAGTTTTGATGTATTCTGTATTTCTTGCGAATAGTCTACCTCAGTATAGAAGAGATGTGGAAACTTGGATAATAACTCTTTCAATGAGAACACGTTGAAATCCTCCAAACATAAAGCATAACCGTGATGTTTTGCATACACATCTGTCAGATCATTGATAGGTATTCTTCTGTCTAGTGACGCTTCCAGAAGCACCACAAGTCTTTCGGCGAAAATTTGCAAGTGTTTCTCAGGCAGAAGGCTGATGTATTTTTCTTTGTTTTCTTCTATAATCTATCAAAGTAAGCATACATTTAAAATAACTTGAAAGTATTAAGAGACGATACTTCGTTTCAATTTGAAGGCACATATGTTGTATATGTAGTGCGTGGAAAAAACACTAGCTCACAGGACAATTGTCTCCTAACTATGTAACACAAAAGAAAATTACAAGCAATACTCCACTACACACAGACAATTCCACACAGTGTCAGATATTACTGTTTACAATAATCGCATTATTATTATTATTATTATTATCACCATCATAAATGTCTGATGACGCTAACAAATAATGAGTGAATTAGAACAAGCCTACTAAACCGAGGTAACACTAAATGATAAAATCTCTTCCAGACTCTTTTTTATTTCTTGCCTGCCGATCACAAAATAAGGCTCAACACTTCAAGATTTAACGTTTCAGTAACGACAGTGTTGTTTCTATTGGTGGATTAGCTAGTCGGAAGCCTAGCCATTCACCTTTTCCAGGCTTACTACCGGCCTGGAGAGGTCTAAGAGGGCGTCAGCTAGACCTACCCCACACTTGACGAACATTTCACCATGAGAAAACATTTCACTTTTGTGAATGCTGTGTTCACACGGAAAGTGAGCAATACTACTTTTCTAGTGATAATGCAATTCATGAGGTCTACCTATGAACTTCGTGTCTTATAGTTGAACAGTAGAACACAGAACAATAAAATCTCAATGTACAATAAGACACTTTGACATCACCGTGCACTTCCATGATAAACATATTATACACTATGTTAACTATTACTTAAACTGCTGACTTGACTCTGAGTCTTACTCATCTTTAGATAAGACTAAGTGCAAAGAATCTGGCTAACATTCCTTTTCATTTTAAAGCTTATGGGAGAGTAGAGATGCCAGATGTGATACATCTGCCTGAATTTCTGACGTCTATTCTTTGCAACGTCAACCCAGAGAAATTTCATTTCATAGTCACCTCTGATCGCCTCTGATTGCTCTAAAAGACTTCGGACTCCATTCATCCAGATGGATGACTGGTGAAAAGGCTCAGCTAGAAGACATGGACACTAACCAAGTAAGCTTTCTGTTGACAGTGTTCAACAACCAACTGCTTAACTTGGTTGAAACAGTGTCTTTCAGAGATGACAATAATTTGAACTGCAGTGTCTGAAAATCGATAACCACACGACTACAAGAACGAACAGTTCAGCGAAGAGTCACCTTTTTTCCACTCCATTGTGTGTCTACAAATTCACTTGCTCATGTGGAGCAAGCGAGATATATAGGTCATTCGATGTGTGTTTCATCTATAAGAGTCAGAAAACATTATCCCGCTTGGCTACCTAAAGGTAACAGTGGAACAATAAGGAGTGCTCTAATCAAACGTATATTCAACACTGGTCACTCAATATGTAAACAGAATTCATTCGAAGTCATCTACAAAGTCAAAAGAAGCCTCCCGAAAACGGCAAGCTTCCATATACTTTGCATACCTGAGACCTTAGCGATCCGGATGGAAAACCCTGATTGGTGCACACAGAGTAAAATTCTCCATCCTCTCCTTCTACCCTGGGTATAGTTCCAAGTTCGACCACTGTGTTACCAGTACAGTCTGTGGATTTATCTATAGCATTTTAGTAACTCCGTTTTATTAACTAACTCTGTATTTACTTCGTCTATCAATTACACAGTTTATTTTGGACACTCATCTCCAAGTCCCTTCACTAACATCCTATTTTTCTGTGTCTTTCATATTACCTAACCCTTGTCAGTGCTTACTAATCTCCGCCCTCCCCCACTAGTTACAGTTTGATGACGTAAACAATAACCCTATGTGATTTCTGTTTTTTTCCGACAAACTTAATGTACACACACACACACCCACACACAAAATAATTATACATGTGTATACAGCTAAGTGAATGAATTCGCCGCCGAGAAGAGACTCTTCGCTGAACTGTTTGTTCTTATATTCATGTCTGGGTGGGCAATTTTCGTGAACTAAAAATCATACGACTTTCATAACCACCTAGAATGCTATCTGACTGTGTGAAGAGTTGCAGTCTGTGTTGAACAATTCATGCTTAACCTATAGTTGGATCTCATTAAATGTCACTTAGGTGAATGTCAGTCACTGTTTTACTATAACACATATATAAGAAAGAGTTTGCAGAAAAGCCATTATTTATCCACCATGATCCTAATAAAACTGACTCTTTTAAAAATTAAATTCCTACCTCTGAGATCGTGTTGTGAATACTAAGCTGAAATAACAAACACATCTACATTCGAGTCGTATGCGTCGATGGCTTAGCGGTAGAAGGCTCACCGACCACGCCTTCTCATATGGTTCAGGGTTCAATCCCCGGCCGATGCACTCGTTCACGTCAACATGACCGGTACAGAGGAAAGGTTGGGCATGAGGCAGGCTACCAACCCCACCCCGTAAACACCATAAACACCAACGCTACTGAAACTTCGAAGCTTTAGCTTGAAGCCCTGTGTCACACTGGGAACGAAAAGGAAGAAGTAAACACATTTTTTAACATATATTCGAGTCGTATGAATGAGGATGTATATACAAAATAAAAAACTTCTTAAACTAAATAAACGTTTTACCTGGATTACGTGGGAAATCGCATCCAGAAGGTCTGCTAGTTTTGTGAAGCCATAGTCAGAAACCCGACACTGTCGACTAAAGTGATGGTGATACGATGGAATAAATTTATTAATGGGTAGTCGGCAACGAGGTCTTTGACTGAGCAGATCGACTACTTCATCCGCAAACATTGTGGTACGATACCTTTCCTCACTGGTTTGTATGGGTTTCGGTAATGACACAACTGTGTCTGAACCCGAACCGGTTACTTCCACAGCATTATCAGACAGTTCCGACAGCATATCAGTAAGATAACAGACACCATAATCTGTTATACAGAATTCCTATTTTTTTAAAAACAAGATTCAACAGATGTGATTGGTAAATAATAGCTAGTATATGTCTGTAACATTTCATCAAACATATTCACTACCTGATTAGAATACAGCTTTGAAATTGTGAAAGTGTAAAGTATGAGAAAAGATACTGAAGTCATTCGGAGAAAATGCGTTGATAAAAAGAAAAGAATTAATTCTCATAATTACAATGTACGCAAACCATGTATGACTGAGGACACTAAAGAGAAGAAACCAAACCAATGCTGCATGAAATCAATTACAGCATATAATGAAATATGCAAAATGAGAGATAATCAAAACAGCAATAATAATAATAATGAAGATAACATTTTAAGGAAGACTAACAGAAGTTGATGTGTTCTACAAGTTAACTGAAGTCAGTTGGAATGACCACAATATAAGAAAAGTGGTTGTGAAATATGTAATAAAGACTAAAAATAATAAAGTATTATGTGATATTATTGAGACAAGATGGAGTGAATACAGTGTGAGTATTTTTCCCAAAAGGTGGTATATCTAGTTATCAAGATGGTCAACAATTGAAATTGTTAACAAAGTAGAATGAAATACCAGTGATGATAGTGTAATAATAGAGAGATGAAATGTTAAACAGAGAAACATTAATAGGCGACAAGTAATCTAGAGGGAATGAGGTATAATTGACTACACTTTCTTAAAGTTCACATGGACGCTCATCATCGGTTATTATGACACACTCAATTTTGTAAACTGTCCTGTCCTTGTGGGAATCATTTGAAAACGAATATCATAGGGCTGGCTATTTAATATCTGAATTGCTAAGCAAATAGATTATTCAAAACTATTACATAAATCAGTAGTGTGCACCGTTACACATCTATGCTTCCTTTCCAGATTGCAACTTGTCATATCAAGCAGGTTGCCTAACTTGACCTCAGTAATTTCGGTTTCCAAAGGAAACTCTGGTGAAACTTCAGCTTGAACTGTGTAATTTGTAAAGTGCGAACTTCACTAACTGTCATTGAGCTTTCTCGATCCACTTTGGTAAAGGAATCACAGTCAACTATCATATGCTTTAATTTGTCTCCCACAGGACACAGTATCAATTCGTGAACAAAGCAAGAAGGATAAATGCATAAATGATCTTTCTACAAAACTGCATAATATAGATTTGGCGATATAGAATACTGATAAGCAATATCGGCAAGTCGAGATTTAAACCAACCTTGTCTCTTGCCATCCACTGTTTTCAATGCAGACAGTTGATGATGCAAACTTTCCAGTTGGGTTCCAACGTCAATTTTGTTGATAAATTTCGTCGGAATGTAGAACCTAAATACTAGTGAAAGTACTTCTATCTGCCTCAGCTTATGACTTCACAAGTTGAATACAAAGTTTTCGGGGTTCCCCGGAATGCCTGCACGTAATTTTTCCTTAACGGAGTCTGACAAAGTTTTCTCAGATTTTTTGCTTGTTTCCGTGCGAACCACTCAGGCGTAACTGACAGACCTAATTCTACAAACCAAATTCATTTGATTCACAACATGATCAAAGCCACAAGTTTCTTTCTTCAGGTGGGAAATGAGGTGTAGGTCTCTAGTGTACTCGATTAGAGATTTCTTTCAATAGAGAGAGTTGTATGAAGTTGTTGAAGAAACAGTACGAAACCGTCTGAAAGATACATCTACAGAAATCCACTTTTAGTGGATAGGTGAGTGCAACTCAGTGTTGATGCTCACCACCACTTATTTCAGCCTTGTCCTGTATGAATCATCTGTAAATGGGAACTAACTCTATGCTTAAGTGAATGCATAAGAACATTGTTATTTTTATCTTTGACGATGTCTGACAAGGGACTTTGTTATCGTCATACTTCAAGTCTTCTGGCGTCAACAATGAAGTATGTCTTCAGCAGATTATTGACAATGAAGAAGAAACATTTTATAATTAAGTAACTTACTTTGCGGTAAGTGCGTTTATATATTGTCGGATAATCAGCTAAACGACAGGACTTTGTTGACTGAGATTTCAGCACCTTGATCAGTTCACTGGTGAACCGTCTAATTTGCACACTGTGAGATAATGTCAACATTCTCATATTACCTGAACCCATAATGTGAACAACATTAGGCAAAGCGCTCATTAGCTCGCGCAATTTCGAAAACCCATAGTCAGCTATACGGCATTGTTTACCAAAGTGGTGGTGATAACTTGGTATAAATTTACTCAACAGCATTCGACATCCTGGTTGATGCTTTATTAATTCAACCAATTCCCGGCTGAGTTGTTTGAGATTGTCAGAAACGGTACCTGACTGCAGATTCTCAGGACTCTGCGGCAGCGACCTCAATAAGCTGACAGACTGACCACAATTCATAACTCCTAAAGAAATAAATTATGAGATTCAGAGTTATCAGTTCTAGGTGGTCAAAATGTTGCTATTTTCAACAAGGACAACTGATGATCGATATACTAACTAGCGGTTAAAGAAGCAAATTGACTGAATTCTCTTCATCTTTCCTGCTTTTCGTATATAGGAGTGAATTACCACTCTGTGAGCATGTGGCGTCCCACAGATACTTGAGCATTGTATATTGTAAGATCTCGATTAATATGCTTGTTAGTCACCAGTAAAGGAGTCCAACACTTCAGTTTCTTCTTACTTGAGACTGGACTCCTACGACAAAAGAAACACGTCACTGCACTAACAACCGAAAAGATTTGTGGTCTACTACTAGCTCTAAACCTGCAAGTTCGTCGGAACTAGCTACAGAATTTTCTATAAAGCGTAGAGGTCAGTTTGAAGATTCACCGAGTGGATTAGGTAGATTCAAGAGATCGACCACATTTGAACCTTGAATGCGTCTCAAAGATGCGAAATAAGTCCACATAGCGACATGTAAGAGTTCTGCTTAAACATACCTTAGTTGTTCAAGTTTTGCAGGCAGATGAAAGTGTGCAGACACACAAACACACACTGAGGAATTTGACTTCTTCTTGAATTGCCCAAAATGTAGACGGAATAAGTCTCGCCAAACTATACACCATAAAGTATGTTTTTCAGTGTGTATCAACTTATCTACAAAAGCTAGGATTACAGGTAGCCTGTTTGCTAGGACATCTCACCAGGGACTGGGAGCAGAAACGGGGTGAACCTGGTGCGGATATTAACTAGTGCACGTGTCGGATAGACGAGATATGTAAACCCACCCTTGGCTGAGACATAAATCTTGTGAAATGAGGCGTAAACAAGTCAGTTTTCAGAGCAGACTAACAATTCTTAAGATGGACAAAATATACCGTAATTTGTTCGCAGACAAAGACGAAAAAAGAAAATTTGATTGGTATGGTTGAATTATGGTTTGTACACCCTATTTTCCAACCAGAATCCATACCGAGAAGTCTTCTGCTGAAACAGAAACAGTGTATAAATTAAAGCACAAACTACTAACTTTACCTACCTATTTCGTAGTTCGGATCATAGACAATGTATCTCTCTCCATTTGATTCGGTGCGAATAATGACTGAAGACACACAGGTAATAAGATGTTCAAGAGGCACACCTTGTTTCTTATGGTGTTGTTGTGATGATGACTTGTACTGCTGGTCGCTAGTCATCTTGACAGAATATTTGTTCGGAAGGACAACTTCATCTGACTGAGTGGAAGTTACGAACTTTTCACCTTCAGACATTTTTAGAAAACTGCTGGAATTGTCATTCTCCATACTTCCTCTGGAATTACTGGGACCAGCTGGGTCACTGTCAACTTCTGGTTTGTCACGTGTGTCGTCAGAATATACAATGGCTGAGTCGCCGAATTCTGATTTATAACAGGCAGGGAAGCTCATCAATGGCATACAATCGCCATGATTGTGTAAAAGTTTCATTAGTTGTTCCCGAAATGAGTTTAGGTGAATATTGATGCAGGGCAACAAACAACGGGCCGTTGCACGAATATAATCTTCACTTCCTTCAAAACAGTGCTGTCTACACACTACAGGCTCATTAGACATCTAAACAATAAACGCGAGCGAACACAAAATCACATTCATCCAATTAGAAGGGGTGATCAACTGTAAATGTCAGAACCACATTGAGACTTAATGATTGTGAAAGGAATTTTGGTGTCGGATAAATTGCTTTTGTCAGCAGATACAAACCTAAAGATGGCAACTGGAAATTCAGGTATCAGGTCTCACAGCTGTAAAATTGAAGGGTGGCTACATACTATGACGAACTTCATTACATGATTCATATATTTATTATTATTATTATAGCTTGACTCCAATCAGTATTTTTGATACAAGTATGGAATTTTCAGCACGTGATATCGGTAGCCCAAATTAAGCAGGCTGACCATGGATATCAGGTGTGCTTCAGCCGAGGATGCAACCCCGGACCATGTGCATGGTCGGCAAGCGTCCTAATCGCTGTGCCACCGACGCATGTGTCCAGCATGACAGTATGGAGCTGGACTGATTCATAACTAGCAATACTAAATAAGTGGCAACTTTAGTACACGTGAATACTGCGAACGAAAGATAAAAATACGCAGATGCTCAATGGCTGAAGACTACGAGAACCATTTTTTGCGGTAAAATTTAGACTAATAACTGTCAGGCGAACTTGAAACGCTGCTTTTAAAATCATTCGCATATGTGAGTGATGGCACAGTGGACGAAAATCAACCATTTATATATATGTCTTGGTGCACCGTGATGGTGAGTCACAGTGCGAAATTCACTGACAGAATTCAGTCTGAACCAAACGAAGGGTAAGATGCATTACACTAGCTACTACCTAGTATCCAACCAAGTCCTAGTACTCCTAAGATGTCCGATGCTCACGAATACTTATGAGAAAAACAATTTTATGCTGAAGAAGTAAAATATTATCTTACCTGGAGTCCATTAATTTCCATAGCTCGTTTATTTAAAGTCACTGAATGGTCACCAATACTTCCTGGACTTTCCCTGATTTCAATAATATCTCGCATCTTCTTTAAGTCTGATGCACTTATCTCTCGATGAAATCGTTTTTCGAATCGCTCAATAAATTTACAAAGAGGTAAAGAATATCCGGAAGCTGAACGTAAGAGTGAAATCACATCAAGCCTTAAACTATTGTTGTTATATACTCGATTTGGATCCATAATGCTAACCCGAATTCGCCTAAATCCAATCCTTTTCTGATGAAAGCGAGAGATCGCGAAACGAGCATCTTTAACACTACCAACTCTAACAAAAGCCAAAGTGTTACCATTTGCTCTGGTCTGCATTGTAATTGAAAGGATATTTTTAATATTAGGTTTTAAATGGTCTATCAAGATCTTTGCCCATTCTTTTTGTGTGATAAAGTAATCTAGGTTAGTAAACGAAAGATCTATAAAATTATTTGGTCGAAGCTGCGCTGGGGATAAAATCGATTCGAATTCTCTAACTTTTTTAAGCACTCCATGACCACGTCTCGTACGTCGATTGACACAGCTTACATTTTGACGACAAATGTGTGTGTTGCTTTCACTACTCTTCTTTGGCCTGAGTATCTCGGATGTGTCCACCAAATATTGTCCATCTATTGAGTTTAAAGTGCTATGTGCATAAGAATTCGTATTCTGGTGCTGGCAGTCACGACTTCCCAAACCTGGTGTGCATTCTATTGCACTAGTATTTAACAAGTTATCAAAGCACTGATTAATATGAATTACAGTGGCCTGGTCATCGGTAGCCAACATATCTCGTGTATTATGTGTATGCATCTTAAGACATATTAAACTTGCGTTACCGTCTCTTAAATTCTCAAAATCAGAATTCATATTTTATTATTTCGATGTGCTAGATAGTTGAATTCCTTCCAAACTGCTAAACGCTGGTACTGGAAAATAAAGCAGTATTTTCAGGTGTAGAGCAATTTCAGTCTGATTTTGGCTTGGAATCTGAAATAGAGTACGCTGCACACACCTCAGAATTTTATGATACTGTCACATCTATCTCCACAAGTGCGAGTAAATCAAAAATATTTCAAAATTTACTTTGTTTCTTATGAAAGCACCAGGGGAATCTTGATAGACGCTACAAAACACTATTAATAGCATAAATATGTTCATCCAAAATGATCATTACCTTAAAATTGTCGTTTACTTCAGTTGATTGCGAGGAATAAACTGTACTTTTTCACCTGAAAAATTTACCCAAAACAAATGCATGGCGGTCAACATAGGTCAAAGGAAAGTAACTTAAGTGAAGACCATGGAGACCCGTCTATCACTAAACGTAACACTATGCAGTATGGTGCCTAATGGATTGGGATACAATTTATAGCACATTATCATAGGCTAAAACATACGGAATATCACGCAAATTTTCTAAACAGTTGTTCTACTGAAGTATAATTTGCGGAAATACAGACTAAATATATTCATTAACGCATGTCCTATGGTAAATTAACTTTGAAACCAATATTGAAACCAATGCTTGGTGTCCAGTGAATCAGGCAGGCTTACGTGTGGACTTCAGGCGAGAAAAGCAGTAAATAATGTCATGTCACTGTGCGGCGTGTCTAGTAAACAAACTAATTTCGAACCTGCTTCTAGTAGGAAATAGGTCTGTTTCAAATAAAGTGCACATGTGAGACCTAAACCTTACATGAAAACACACCTATGGAGCCTTAGTGCAAAAGTACGATCGATATGGTCTGGGAATTCGCCAACGTCCAGGACAGGAAATAAGTATTTGAAATGAAAATTAAGATAACTCAACTGGCTGAAGTGTTGCTTTGCGCTATCCTAATCATCACGTAAAAAATTAGACGGCCTCAGCCCCCTTCTACAGAAAAATTATTCCTCAATAATCACAAGGTATGCATAACTGGCATATTAAGCAGAGCACTGGAGTGAACAACTTTGCTGCCTAGAGCTGATTATCCAGGTTCACAGCAAATAATATTCAGACAAAAAGGGGAATAGCAACATAAAGGTGAAAAGTTTAGGCGTGTCATACAGATAGAGATAATTTAGAAGAAAAGAAATAAGTTGAACTGGTCAGTAGTTACCCAGTTAACTCACGAAAGTCAGTCAACAAAGAACTAGGGAGTAAAAGTCGAGATGAAGCTAAAAATAATGAGAGGATCAACTTGAGATAAAAACTGGAGACAATAACTGTTACTACTACAGTAATCATTATAAACTAATGAAGTTCAGTAGGAAAAAGAATATTTAAAAATGTATTGTACACAGATGAACTATGTGAAAGTTTGCTTTTCAAAGCTGGATTACGAAGCTTATTTCAGGATGTCTAGACATTCAGGTGTGTCCAACAACTAAAATTTAAGATGACACTACGGAAATTTATAATGCAGAGATAGGTATAATGTTGACATAATGTCTTTAATATGAGCCCGCATCTCCTTTCAGAATTATTCTGATAAATGTAACACATATTACTCAACAACTCATACCACTGCCTTCCCAGAATGCACCACACATTTGTCAACTGTTTAGACAGGCTCCATCGGTGCGCATGTGCCCACGTTTCCAAATTATATTCCCTCCTCTGTAGATTGCCACAAATTTACAGGTTTCGAACTGTAGGCTAGTTGTGTCGAGAGCATACTTAGAGAGCTTTAAGAAAAAGACCACCGTTTTACGAATGAGAAATAGACTTTCATATTGTATTAAGTGGAGAATCACCGATAGATTCACACCTGAAGAAGACGGACTAGTTAGTGGGAAGCTGCTTAGGCTAACTGAACGGTAAAATTAAAAGAAATCTTCCAGTCTGTCTGTGAGAAGAATCATTCTCCAAGTTGAGCGTAACGACATTTTTGTGACAGAATATGCTACCTCATGATTATTCCTTACGGAAAAGAAATATTACTTGGATGAATGATATTCAGACCACGTTAGAATAACTGTGTTTAGTATGAAGACGACACGATTCTTATTTCTCATGTCCGTCCGAACGTTACTGCTAATTCACAAGTGAGGTTAACAACATATACCTCACATAAATAAAAGATGCGCAAGTTTAGGATGATTTTGCGCAAATGCATCGAAATACCACTATTTATCCAAAGTGGCATACCCCTTCAAAATGTCCTGGATTTAAAAGTTAGCTTACCCCATGTTTACTCGAAATACCACAAAATTGTATATTCAGGTTACGTGAGTACCGAAAATCATGATATGACTGAAGACGACAATTGTTTGTGTAACAGCTGTAATACTTATACGAAACAACACATTTCACCACTTCAATATTTTGCTCTTTACACAAAGCAGAAAATCAGAAGCAAAATTATACTAGAGACTAACTCCATTTCTGTAATAATACGCGACGATTTATTTCCATCCCATTGAGTTTTATCAACGCAAGCGAACCTAGCTGACTATCCCAGTCCATGTACTGGAGTGGTTGACATATTATAACTTCACTACACTTTTTTGCCAACTTTAGCATAGTTTACCAAATTCATCATAGTTTACTGATAAAAAATCAACTCACGGTGTTCGATCCGTTGCCGGTAGCAGTGTGTTGAATTAGTGCTTTTTCTAATCGTTTATAGACACTAGTGCGAACTAACAAACTTGAACGACCTTCGGATTTTTAGAATTGATGGAATTCCCACCTGTATTATTTCTATGATTAAGAAGGAATTGTACTAGTTTACAGTTCTATGTGAAGAATAAGTCCCAAGGTGCAGATGATCCAATATTGTTTTTACGGCTGAAATTATCCCGCATGCTCAAGGTCATTGATGGAGTGAAACGCTCAAAGGTCATTTTCGTCCATGTTAGTCGGTAATGTTGGATTGCAATTCCGTAGCCGTTCGTTTACACATTGGTTTTACGTTCTGTTGGCATTTATAGGTGATTCCCATATACTGATAGCATTCTTTTGTAAAATAGTACTGTTCTTCACACGAAAATAGCCACATTTTGACGTAGTCTTCATTGAATGACACTATGTCGAAAGCTGCAGCTTCTACAAGAAATAAAGTATTTGTGTAGATGACATTACTCCCAACTACCCCATCTTCTTCATTGTAGATATGTTTTGACGCATTCAGCATGAAACACTAATCACTACAACCAATATGCTAAGTGTGTCGCAGTCAGATTAAATGACGCGGACACCAACATAACTAGCCAGGAAATGAGAATTCCTATCAATCCAGAAAACATATAACAAAATTTTATTAAAAATTATTGACAAAAAAAATTTGCCGAGCGAAATTTCAACCAACATGCCGGATAAGTCCAGCCGTTTTTACGAGCTAGTAAGAACCAATTAGATTTCTTTCTGCTCGCCTCTTAATTGTGAGGTATAGGTTCCTGATCTTCGATAAACTTCTGCGTAGCTCGTCCCGCCACTCGACTGTTGCAGCTTTGGTTGACTCCAAAAGGAGTAGTGTTGGGATTAATTATATGTTGCTTGTAGTATGAAGTGTGTTAAGACTGTTACTACTGTGAATGGAGTTGATCCTATATATATATACATATATATGTATATATATATATCAACTTCAAATTTAATCATTTGTCCGCTGTTAAGTTTTCTTTATTTCTTTTTCTGTCTGTTAGTCTGAATAACTTCACTAATTATATCTACTATTACTATTATGATTATCGCTTTTCTTTTGATGACGATACCGGAGTACTAACTGGTGAAAGGATCAACTCCATTCACAGTAGTAACAGTCACCTTATGAGCAACATACCATGCCTATGTCCAACGAATTTCTTCAACGAAAATACTTTGCGTTATACGGTGCACATCGATTCCGCCTACATAAAGTTATATTATAGGTGTAATTCCATAACCTTCTTCTACGTACATTTTATGTAAGTGAATAATTGTAAAATACTTACTCCTCGTATATGTTATTTATCATATTGATGATACCTGTAATCTGGCGTTTCTCATGTACGAGAATTTAGAATATAAATCAGTGATGATATAGTAAATACAGGATCCTGTTATACATTCCGATAGTGGAGTGGAATATGAAATAAACATCCTGAAAGAAATCTCGAAATGGAAATCTTAAGAAATGCCTACAAAGCTTGAAATGCTTGTAGTTTTTATCTGCGCAGAACAGAGTGTATTTGTCTGTACACCCAGGATTGAATGTGAGCAGTTTGATTCGGCTGTTAGTACTACAGTGACAGTGGTGGGTAAAACTGACGTTCTTGGTTAGTATGTTTAACCAGTCAGAGGACCTGAAATAGTTAGTGACAGTATGAATAAATCGTGGCCAATTGCGGACTGACCTAAAGTATCACCAATATTTAATTCGGTGTGCATGCTTATACGAGCAAAGTTTATGGGTGAAAGGAAAGTCGATTATGACGTCCATATGGCAGCGATGCAGTGTGGCAAAATATCCCAAAGTCAAATGAGTCGCATCAGTGATATGATGGCTCCACGGTGTAGGGGCGGTGATGGTTGGTACTGGAATGTGAGTTATGAGATACCTGATTGTTATATGACACGACGAGTAGCAGTCACTTAAGGAAGGAAACCAGAACACCAATCCCGTAAGAGCGTGTATTTTTACAATGCAAAATTCCGCCTCTGCGGACTAAGATCTCACAAACAATCAGTCTTTCTTTGATAACCGATATCAAGTCTTGATAGATGTTGTCCTTCCTGCTCCACGGAATCGACTCTGGTATTCCATGGAAGGAAAAACAAAGAAATTGTTAAATATCTTTTCTTCAAAGGTTTGTATTCAGTTAAAATTATACATCACCCTGCTATTCACTGTACCACTGGGTGTTGCAAAACTACCAGCGTAAGTATGCAGGAGACGGAGTGTGCCGATGGGCACGTCTCAT